TTGAAATTTTTCATGCAACAAAAACAGACTATCATTATTGTTTTAACCCATGTATTGTTTATATATATATATATATATATATATATATATATATATATATATATATATAATGTGTGTGTGTAGAATATTTAGATATTTTTGCTGTCATTCGAAAGGGAAAGTATCATGGAATAATTTCAGTGCAATAGCAGTTTTTCTTGTGTTGCACATTGAAAAATACAACCAAATTTTTGAAGTGAGAGAAAAAATTTGATTCTTCACTGGCAATTGTTGATCATACTAAAAAGTTTCAATAGCTTTAAACCTTTGATATATTTTTATGATTTTGTTGGTTTTTTTTTTTTTGCTACAATAATAATAATAATAATATTCCAGTAATAACAATAATGTTAACAATCCAAATAGTAATAATAATCTTAAATATTGATTAAGAAAGCAATAATGAAACTAAGAATGAATTGATATTAAACATATCAACTCTTGCAGACTCACAGCATAATTTTTTGTTCTCAAAAATAAATTCCTTGTGTCCAACAAATAGTAAGCTTCAGCTTGGCACAGGGTCTTCATCTCCATGAGAAAGATGATGGAATGGCTAGCTATTATCTATAACTTTCCCTTTTGAATAACAGCAAAAATATCTAAATATTCTACATATATATAAACATCCAGCATTTTAACGTTGGGAAGTTGTTCCTGTTGGGCATTTTTCTGTCGGGCAATTGTCCTTATTGACATATGTCAATATTCGGACAAATGAATAAGCAAACCCAGTACTAAATTAAATGATTTATAGGTATTTATGTTCAGCTGAGCAAAAGAAATTATTGCTCACTCTGCTTCCATAGGACAATACTGGATCAAAGCAGAAGTTCAGCAATTTAGTAACATAGTAATTGTGAGTTCAATCCCTGAGCTGGCCATACGACACCAATAACACTGCCCTGTAGCACTACAGTTCAGAGCAGACATCAGGTTCATTCTCAGGGTGCAGCTTCTTCCAGCCAAACACTTGTAGCTTAAAAAATAACTTGGGCCAGATCAATACCCACAAAATAAAACCATGTGATGTTTGTAGCAGTCAGCAAATTTTATTTTGTTATAACCTTTTGCAGTAGACAAGTGAAGCAGAGGTGTGGCTATTTGACAGGGTAAACAGTATGGGTGTGTCTTCTTTTTCACAACATGGCAAGCAGTCTCTTGTCCCTCTGTGCCTTTCTGTGTGTCCCTCTGTGCCTTTCTGTGTGTCCCTCTGTGCCTTTCTGTGCATCTTTCTGTGCGTCTCTCTCTCTCTCTCTCTCTGCCTTTCTGTGCATCTCTCTCTCTCTCTGCCTTTCTGTGCGTCTCTCTCTCTCTCTGCCTTTCTGTGTGTCTCTCTGACTTTTGCTCTTAGGAACCATAGTGTTCTTTGTCTTGTCAGCTCTGTCTAAAAAAAAAAGTAATTCATCACTCAGTGAACTTTTTTTGTCAGGATTGATTTAAAAAAAAAAAAACAATTTTTAAATCTTCTTGAATATTAATCATCCAGATGAAACATTATACAGGAAAAATTGTGACTGTTAATCATATAGATCAAACATTATACAGTGAAAATTTCAGATCAAATTTCAGTTGTCAGTCTATAGTTATATTCTTGTATACTTGGTGGTTCAAAAATTATATCTAACTAGTTTTAACCTGTGAAAATTTCAGTTTTCCTTTTTTTAATATTCTCATGAATCTTAATCTTAATGATTGAATAAGCTCATGATGAATTCTATGACAATAAAATAACCATTGAAATTCCCCTATTGTATCATTAAATATTTGAGCTTAACTACTTATTGCAATAACAATCATAAATATGAATGCTGGTCATTATTTTAAGAAGTGGGTACAAATGAAATTGGCAACTTTTTCCATTTCATTGAAACAGCCTTTAAACACTTTTACCTTCACTTCCTTTCTTTCATTTTCTCACTGAAACCAAGTAGTGTCTTTTGTCTTCTCACAATCAAAACTGGAAAGTCCATTATTTATGAGGTATTGTCAGGAGATGGTAAACACCTCTTTCTTTCTTTCTTTCTTTCAAACCAAGTAGCGTCTGTGATAAGTCTTTTGTCTTTCCATATGATCAAAACAGAATAGTTCATTATTTATGAGGTATTAGTAGGGCGTACTGGTCATGTGAACTATCAAAGAGAGAGACAAGCACGGTTATAATAGGATAGTAAGACCTCCTCCTCCTCCAAACACTTGAAAAAAAGATATACCAGATAATGGAAAATAAATTAGCAGACCAGTGATCACATTTAGTGAGAGTACATCTAGCCTGATTGTTAGTATGCATTACATATGGCACAAACAGAGGCTCAAAAGAAATGATTTTTATTTTCATTTTAAGAATTGTAATAAAAATAAAAAATCGTTTCTTTTGATCATCTGTTTGTGTAATGGATGCTAACAATCAGGTGAGATGTACTCTCAATAAATGAGATCATTGGTCTGCAAATTAAATAATCTTCACAAATTTAATGAGGAAGAAGTTAATAATCTTGTTAGGTGAGTGAAAAGAAAAGACTAACATTTGTTGTTTTGATTTTTGTTTTTGTTTTTTTTTAAGTTATTTTCTGCCATCTCTCTTGTTTTTCTCCAGTCATGATGAACAGTTAGACTCTCAATGTAGTTCTATGCTTTGAATGTCTACTAGGTCTCAGGTCCACTCCCGATCTCAAGTGGGGAAAATAATGCTTTGATTGATTGATTGATTGATTGATTCATTTCCAATGGCTTATCAAACCATTGCAGGTTATTTAAAGCCAGAAAATATTTTTAGGTTGTAAGAATTTTTTTTTTTTTTTTTTAGATAATAATGGTTTAGAGATACAAGTTTTTACTAATTAACCCATAGCTGGGGGATTTGAGATGAATTAATGCCTAATCTGAATTTGATAAACAAACAAGAAATTGTAATGTGGATTTTAAGTGGAGGATCATTTCTATGTTACAATTAATATATAAACTGATCCCTCACTTTGTGGCTATGGTAGTTTTTGTACATTTATATTCCAAAGAATGTAAACAAACCTAAAAGACATGCTCTATCAGAAATGAAAGGCAAGATGAACTGCCTGCTAACTTCAATGAGACTGCTTGTCCCCATCAATCAAAAAGACAATGCTTGGTGTACTGCGTATGTAGGAGAGGATGGCCAGCACAAAACTTGAGAATGTCCGCTTGCAAAAAATATGGTCTGAGTGGTGCCTAGAATTTGTTTATGCAAATGTCTTGCATAGTGAGATTAACAATGTTCTTGGGCTCAATATAGTCAGACAGATTTCTGATTAGAGAGTGAGTCACTAGTATTACTATTGTATGGAACTTCATGATTCTGATTTCCTTCTTGTTCATTGTCGCTTTCTGTGTCATGGTTACATTCAACTTTCATTTGCACCATTCCTGTGTGGAATTCTTCATTGCTTCTACTGTGGACATCTCTCTGTTTCATTTGCTTAGTTTTGTTTGTCTCCGGTGATGCTGCTTGTTCCATCCCTCCTCGTTTATGTTCTGGCAGCAGAAAAACAACTTCACATGCCTGTGTAGTGTGTAGCTAATCAGTACTTCAATAATTGATTTGTTTTTTTTTTTATGGCTTATCAACTCTTTGCAGCTGAATGGCTGTTTCCGTGATCTTAAAGTTGAAACCTCAATTGTTATCTATCCTCCTTAGCCTCATAATCTTCACTTCCTACCACATCCTCTTTCATTCATATCACACCTCTCATTCATCATAGCATTTCAACAGTAGCCCTCTACCTTGAGTGACTCTTGAGCCTTGCATTGGATGAATCACTATTTTTAGCTGAAATGAATAAGTTAGACATAGTACTCTATAATTAGTATTTAGTAGTTATTTCTTTTGAAAAATGTCCCTCACCCCCACCTGTTACATGCAAATGCAGACCTCACAGTATTGTCATTCATTTGCAAATCACTTGGATTTCTTTTTAAGTTTGCACATTTTAGGGGTATACTTTTACCTACATTTTAAGGCTACAGAAATACCACTTCAATGCACTACTTTAGTTACTTAGAATTTTGTTTAAATACAGATAAGCAATATCAAACTTTTAGTATATAAATAAGTTACTCTGGACAAGATTTGAACTTGCATCCTGTACCTTCACTATTGTCTATCATCATGACATATTCTATTATTAGTTTACCAAAGTTGTCATTGTCAGGCAGAGTGTGTGTGTGTTTGTATCTCACTTTGAACAGGTTTCAAAGAATGCCTTGATCCTTCTATTTTGCTGCTTAGACAAATAACATTAACATTTTGGTTCCTGCTATATATTTAGAAATTCTAGATTAAATCCAAAGAAGAATCTGCAATGTTATTTGTCCTGACCTGGCATCTCTGCTCCAGTTACTTTCCCACTACCATAATGTAGCTTCCCTCTGCCTTTTCTATAAATACTTTCATGGTTATTGCTCTGATGAATTTTCCTCTATTGGATGTAGACTTTAAGTGCAGTACTAGATTGGCAGCAAGGTCTCATCATTTTACAATTGAATTGGCTAGATGCACCCATAATTTCTATGCTATCAGTTTATTCTATTGCACTTCTTGCTTGTCAAACTCTTTTCTGGCTTCTCTCAATTACTCTATTTCTTCACCATCTACTAATAAAAAATATCTACAGCCTTAAGACCCTGTCTTCATGAATGCATATATAAAAATTTAAAGAAAAAAATATTACACATCACTATACATTGCAGGCACACATTGGATTTACTATTCAAACAATAAATAAGACTTTTAAAACCCTAACCCTGCTTAAAGTACATTTAATTTTCTTACTCACACCTCTTGTGTGAGTTAAAAGCTTGAATGTAGTATGAATTTTGGTTATTTTATAAATGTTATTTGCATATGAGAAAAAAAAAAATCAATAAATGTAGTAGCCATAAAATGTTTCTTTTTAATGTATTAACAAGACTAATTTTTTCTTTTATAGATTTGACAGTTTTTGAAGCTACAAAGGCCAGACCTGGAGACAAAAGAAAACGATTACGAAATGATGATGCTGGGGACATTGATGGCTACCTGGGACCATGGGGTAAATTTGTTGATGAGAAAACCGTAATGAAACCTAATGAGGTAAGTAGAAAAGAATATATCTTTTGAAGTGATGTGAACTTAGACTCTTTTCATTTTCTGTGGGTTGTTAATCATCTGACCATTTTTTTTTTATGGTTTTCATCATTTTTATTGATGCTGACAAAGTAAATAATTTCTCCACCTTTTATAAAATTTGCAAAAACCCAATTACTACGAAGTCATCATCTTTCTCTGCATCTCAGATGCTTTGGTCTTGAACACACCCTGATTTTGATAAGCAATATGTTTAAGGAAAAAAAAAAAAAAATTAAAATATGTAAAATTAAAAGTAGCCACATGCCTTCTTTTTAGTAGGTTTGTTTTGGTAAAAAAAATAAATAAATTTCTTTAATGCTAAGAAGTAGGATATTTATTTATTTATAAAACCTCTTGTAATTATTTTTCAACAGAAGTTCAAGGAATAAAAATAATAGGGTTTTCTTAAACTTCATGACTTCAATCTTTTTATCTTTTGTCATATATTGAATTAGAATTTGATATACAATGCTACTTTTCTAAACATGGATTTTATTGGTGCATGGTTTTGTAATCAGATGCTGTTACTCATGACAACTGTTTTGGGGGGTTTTGAGTATTTGCACCATTTTATATTCAGAATATTGTCCTCATTGTAGTTGTTATTATCACTGTTTTGGTTGTTGTTCTCTCCAAGCTTCCTCCGGCTAACCTACAAGGAATTCTGAACTGAACTCTTTATTTAAACTATAGGAGTAACTGTTTTTAGTAGTAATAGGTGTTGTGACGAAAGAAATGACTTACCCCGGAGATCGAAATGAGCATGGATGTTTCTTGCTTGCAAAGTGCTGAAAAGAAAATATGGCCACTCTTGGGGGCGCAGTTTCTGAGTGCTTGTCTCATCTCTACGAGACGGGATTTGCATATATGCAAATTCTGGCCTGCTTGAGGAAACATAAAAAAGCAAGATGCTAAGAGTGATGGTGGGGGGTATCATATGCTACTGACTTTGTCAACTGAAAAGTGCCCAGTGTGGTGGCAAAGGAATAGAGCCCTGGAATCTATTTCCTTCAAGTGAGTGAGGAAGAAAATGAGTCGGTATGTTGGCAAACACCACACTTAATTTTTTTTTTTTTACCGCCCTCATTTATTTTATTTTTTTTTTGCTACACTGTTTTCATTTCACTGCCTAGTGAATTAAAGCATTGGTTTGTGATTTGGACTATTAGTCAATAGTCCAAATATAAATAGTGTAAATAATAACCACTCATCCCAGAAATTCAGACAGAAACTTTTATATGAGATTGAAATTTAAGTCTTTGCATTAATCTCTACATACAGAATATAATTTACCTTAGTTTTGATCTAAGCAAGATTTGCCTTCTTGCTTGACCTTTTTAACCAATTGTTTTTTTAATTGATTTCAATTAAGTTTTTTGTGAATTCACTAAATTTCTTTGATGTCTTTATACAAGGTAATTAAAAGATTTTTACCTCCTCCTGTCAGTCCTGGGTATGACAATAAACTGCATCTGGCAGCAAGGCCTTTGATTGAGAGATTGGAGGTTTTGAGTAGCACAAATCCACCTCTTAATTGCTGTTATTCCCAGGGTCACTCTGACCTAGGGTAGAGGCACCTGTTAGGGTTGCAGCTATGGGCAAATAGTGAGCCCCTATACTGGGGTCAAAACACTATGAAAGGATAAAAATATACTTTTTATAATAAAAATACCAGCAATACATTTTTATATAAAAAAAAATTGCCAACAATACCTAATTATAGTAAAATTACCAACAATACATTTTATCTGTAGATCACAGCATACATTTGCATTCAATATATATTTAGATGAAGCCATAAAATTGCGTTCAAAATATTTAGATTTCGGCATTAAATAACCCACAGAGACTGATATGCCACTAAACAAAATCAACCAACAACCTCTTTCTGTTTATTTAAAAATTTAGCTTTGTATATGATATTTGCAAAGTGATTCTTGCAAAAAAAAAAAAAATACTTAAAATCTGTTAACTGAAATAATTCATTGCAGAAATAACAGTGAGGCAAAAAAATAAAATGAAGCCATTGTGCAAGGTTCATGGGGTAACTTTCTTTCTTTCCTTCCTCCTCAAAAATGAAATCCTTATGAATCTAGAGCCCTTCCTGCTTTTCCTTGTTATTGGGTAAAGCATACGAAAAATGTTCTCTTTTCTGTTTTATCCCTGTTGTAAATAGACTAGTAAATAGTTCTAGTGACATATTCTCTTTTTCTCTAACTGTATCCCTCCCACCATTTTTATTCTTTGCAGGAAGAGATGAAAGAATTAGATGAAATATTGGCCAAGAGAAACAAAGCCAAACGAGTACAAGAAGAAAAAGTGGGTGATGAAAAATCTACACTTCACAGTAAGTCGATTTTGCAACTGATTTCCATTCTCGTTTGTGCCAGAAGACTCTGGCAATTTACCATTCCTTATTTCTATTTCTTATCTGCTTTTTCTTATCCAATAAATGTTTGGACAACTTTTGATGAAATTATGCTTATTGGATTCCATTTATGCTGACGCCAATTCTATCAAAGCGTAGTTTTCTTTTATTTGGTGGTATTTCCATAGATGCTATAAAGATGTCTTTTCACAAAACCAATGGAAAGCTAGTCTCCAAAATTCTTTCATTTTTTTTTTCTATCTTTACAAAATTATTATATCTACTCACTTGTACACAGCACTGTACTTCCATAGATTGTGTGTCTGTATGTGTGAGACATATATATGAGGGTGTGCTAAAAATTTCTCAGTGGCATTAAGAAAGGATTTAAAAAATGCTGATGTATATTTATTGTTCAAAATTTTGAGTACATGGTTAGACTGACAGCTTTCAACTCCTCTCTTCCTTTTTGTGTGTGTCATTATATATATAATATAATATATATATATATATATATATATATATATATATATATATAGTGGAACCTCACTTTAACGGATGAATAAGGGAGATTGTCCATTAATTTGAAGCACTTTTTTTCGTGGCCTCAAAACACCCAGTACAGTAGAAAATTATTGTAACTACAGTATGTGTATTTTATTTTTAAGTTACTATATTCCTTTAAATAAATTGCAAATAGTTTTAAAGTTAAATCCAGAGTACATTGTTTCTGGGACTGTTAATTTCAGGTTTTACTGTGTGTGTTTTACAGTCATATGTGAATATTTGCATGCTAAGATGTGCATGCGTGTTACATACAAGGTATATTGAGACAGCAATGTATTTTTCTAATTTTTAAATAAGATGGTGCATGTCAGAATGAAAATTATGGATAAACTAAGTTTATTCATAATTTTGATTCAGTTGAATTTATCAAAATGTGTTTGTTTATAAAAAAAAAAAAAAATTTCAAGAACATCATTCACTCACATTCATTTATTAGACATTGAATTGTCACCTGGTGTTCTTCATAGCTTGACTAGACTTTTCTGCTAACCGGATGAATATTTATGGAAGTTCTTAAAATTAAAATTTTGAAAAGCCAATAACCTTTTTGCTCTTGTATATAAATATTTATTACAAAATAAAATCCCTGCATTTGCCTTAATAAAGTCCATCAGAGGATGAAACATGTCAGCTAAGATAAGTTTTCCTTTTGTCTTTATATTTATTTATTTATATATATATATATATATATATATATATATATATATATATATATAAAAGTAGCTAGAATCTCTAGGTCTTTAAATGAACCATTTTTCCTCTGTCTACAGGAGAAAATGGAAATAATTAAATTCTCAAATAGTGACATTTTGTTGAATCAAAGATGCAAAACACTGATAAGTTGTATGCACATAAAGGAATTACTTTACAATCTTGTTAAATTTCTTAACCCTAGAATCAATCTTCTTCTGTTTATCATCTTTATAAACATTTCATTATTATCATCGTTAATTTATCTCTGTTTTAGCCATTAAATTGGTTAATATTTGAAATTTACTAGTAGTACAATTAGCTTTGAATTATATTTTTTATTTTTATTTTAATTATTTTTCTCTGGCTTTTTTTAATAATACTTCATAATTAATATAATAATGTAAAAGTTTAAAATTTATTTTGTATTCTAATTTATATTGTAAAGTTGGTTTTGTTAAGTATTGTATTGCTTCTTAAAGTGTCCTTTTTATATTCTGTAAATAATTTTGTTTGAATATATGACTTCATATACAAATGCCATAGAATTGTAAATGTGACATGTCAATACAGTGTGTCCATTCACACTGCATTTCTGTTCAAATTTGAATTCTCTGATTCAACAGAATTTCATTGGTTTAATTCATATCAACATCTTTCTATTTCCTATCTTAACTTTCCTCTTATGAATCTGGATAATTTTGAAGATACTTCTCTATTTCCTTTCTTTTTTTTCTCTTTGTTGTATGGTTAATTTCCTATGCTTTCTCTTCACTTTCTTTTCTTTTACTTTTTCTTTCCTCTTTTTATTGATTTCTTATCTTCTCTCTTTTTTCTTTATATAAATCCTTTTTACCCTTTATGGAGAATTTTCCAAAAATGGAAAGTGAAGTAGTGTTTCATTAATCACAATTTTGAATAAAATCGTTTAGTACTATCATTGTTAGCCATCTGAAGAAACATTTCATTTTAACATTGAAACAAAATGTACAATTTTGTAGTGGATATTTACATGTTCTAATGTAAGTGTATAATTATATATATATATATATATATATATATATATATATATATATATATATAGGAGGCACGGTGGAGTAATGGATAGCGGCTTGGATTGAGGAATCGCAGAGCCGAGTTCAATTCAGTCGAATCCATTACATTCACTTTTACGTGCTGATACCCTTGGGAAAGGTATGAATCCTCTTCCTCTCCCTCCAGCTATGGGTAAAATAGCAGGACAGACTGGGTTCTATAGCCTTGGATGGCAACTGGTCTAGGAGAAGGACAACTCTGAATTCAAAACCTGCGGAGGGTCATTTGGGAACCTTGTGGCATTCGGTGCACCAGGTCTCTGTATTCGTCCCTTCAAAAAGTGTGGATGGTCCTGCACGAGGCCTTCACCACTATAATCAAATCTCATGTGCCGGTGTCGGTCTGTCAGTTTCCTGGAAACTGATCTGCTTGACCCTCATACGTCGAATCTTGACAGGAGAGTCGATTATATAGGACTGTTTATGTAATTCATGGTATGATGTGTAAGATTTGTTAAAATGTTGCATAAAAATTTTCATTCATTCTAATAATTAATCATGGGTCAATAAGTCCATAACTTGATAATAGATAAATTTTGACCTGAAATTTTCACTGCATAAAATTAAGTTGATGTGATTAATATTCACCACTAAATTAAGTGCATTGTCAAGGAAGGAGATTATTTCAAAAATAAATATTTGTTGCGAAAATAAATGCTCCCCCACCCCCAATCATTTTCTGTGCACTTATTAATGTACTTGCTATATAAACAGTAAAACAAATTCTGTTAACAAGGAAAAAATGTGAAGAAACCATTTTGATGTAAACTGCATTCAAATCAGTTTGCATAACCAAAGTTTTGGCTTTCTTTATTTCTACCCACTGCCTATACCACTACTCTGCCACTTTCTTATTTAGTCATTTTTCTGCTCAGACTAACTAAATATTTCTGGTGACACAAAATTCTGTTAAAGAAATCAATTTTGCATCTTTACTTTGTTTCATCAGTTTCGGTATGCAATTTGTTGTACATTGTAAATAAAGAAAAGGAATGCCTGTTGCAAGAAATGGATGCATGTATTACTTATACACTAAAGCTCACTGACATGCTTTCTTATGGTATGTGTGTGTGTATATATATATATATATATATATATATATATATATATATATATATATATATAGGCAATTTTTACATTGATGCATGTTTCATTAAAAAATATAGACAAGTTTTGTCTATTTATTTTAAGTAAGTTCCTTTCATATTGTCTGATAAGCTTAATAACATTATCATTGAAAGACGAAAGGAAATCGCCATATTGATACATGTTTTTTAATCCTATCTAAGCTTTCAGCTTACATAAGCCATTATCAAAGATGACAATTACTTTTTCAATATATCAACCAATACACAGACAAAACAATAATGATAGTCTGTTTTCGTTGCATGAAAAATTTCAAAGCAATGACTAGCTTGTGTATACGAGACTCGGAAATGAAAATTGTCACAGCTCGTGATGTCACATGACTACGCAAGAGTGAAAACAAGAAGTATTAAGTATGAAATCAAAAGAGTTCCACAAGCAAGAAGTGTGAGAAAAGAAACTGTTAACATAGAATTTACAGATACATCTAGCCAATTCAACTGTAAATTTATGAGACCTTGTTGCCAATCTAGTACAGTGCTTAAATTCATAAAGTCTAGGTACCATAACAGAATGTTCATCTGAACAATTACCATGAAAGTATTTATGGAAAAGGCACAGGGAAGCTAAATTACAGTGGTGAAAAAAATGACTGAAGTAGAGATGCCAGGTTAGGGCTAATAATATTGCTGATTCTTTGGATTTTATAAAAAATTTCTAAATATATAGCAGGAGCACTGGACAATATGTGGCAGCAATATTAAAAGCCTGGATTAATTGTAGACTTATAAATATGTAATATAGATTCTGGAGAGAGAATTTTTTTTGTGAAAAATTTGTTTTAAGAAAAATATTTTATAAATTAGTGATGGATGCTTGGTCACTGAATGTGGAATGTTTCCTTATAAAGAAACATAATATTACTATTAGAAATCTTTGGTAGAGAACTGTTTCTGCATTTGTCTTCATTTGGTATGGATATGCAACAACAAAGGTTCAAATGTTAAAAATCTTGCTCACACACACTTATACACAACCATCCCAAGACTTCAGCAAACAACTCTTTTTTTATTTTTTTTAAAATTTCAAACAAAATGTTTGTTCTACTACTCTTCCCAGCCATTAGTAATGGATACCAAAAAGTCAAATCTAATCTAAATAGTTTTGATTACAAACTAAATATAAGCTACCATACCAGATAAACAAATGTAATGGTTGAGATCAGGAATGTTACAGTACTCCTTCTTCTAATTGTTTTTTTTTATTTTATGTATCTTCTTGTAAGCTCTCTGCAAATAGGAAACACCTCAAAGAATATTGGCTTTGTAAGTAAAATAAGATGAAGATATCAAGAGCATAAAATTGAAATAAAGCTGAAAACTGTCTTTATTTTCTTTGTTTATTGATCCAACAATTAAAATGCATTTGTGCTTATAAGTACAAATGTGTAAGGCACATTCACAAGGTCTTTTTTGCCATTTCTTTATAATCAGTAGATGTAAGAAAAAATTTTGCAGGTAGTGTAATGGTTATCAGTGCAGA